AAACAGTTAGGCTAAGTATTTCTATAAATAACAGATCGTCTTCAAATGTTATTTTGCTACCAGTTGCTAGTATTGAGTTGCCTGCATACTCCCATGTGACACTCGTGCAGCATGAGCAAGAACTGTGGGCAAGAATTGTGAAAAATAGTACTTTATTCATAACCAAGAAATACAATAGTAAATGGATACAGACCAAGCTGTATATATACAAGATACCAACCCACCCACTTGCCTGACCTCTTTAGCAGAACTGGACCGACTGGGATGAGATAAGGTGGCATAGGTTGGCACCAAGTGCCAAGTTGGGCATGAGTAACCAATAATGAGATTGTAGATCTAAGCAGGAGAAGCTAAGCTAAGGTATTTATACCCCTGCATCTGCAAGTTATACCCTTGACATTAACTCTACCACATTACATCTTAATGATGTAATATTCTTGAGAGCATCCGTAGTTCCATTCTTACTCTATCTTATTCTGTCAACGATTTAATCTACGTCATTTGTCCACAAAACCTACGAAAATCCCCAGGCTCCTCTTTGTATGTCTCAGTAAATTCTACAGGTGTTCGCTCATTTTTCAATTGTTTTAGTAATTCTTTTAAACCCTCGGGATTATAATACCCGCCCTCGTGATGATGCACTGTTGTTGTCCTTCATATTGTGCCTTTATTTCTTTCTTTATTTTTTTCTTTCATGGATTACTAATGTTTTTCCTTTGCCAGCACAGTCTTGACTCATGTGTGATGTAATGTTTTGTCCTTCTTCAGTCAGCACATAGTATCTGTTATATTCAGCATTCTCAGCTACTATGATTCTGACAATTTTTTGCTTCAGTATAAGTTGTCAATAAAGTTTTGTTTTTTTTTAATTTTCAGTCAACTTCTATATGGGAATTCAAGCTTATAGGATGTTTTTTTTCAAAGCCAAACTACATGACTACACAACAGGGGGTGTCACTGTGGCCTCACACTTCCAGGGTAGTGGGTGTGGTGAAGTTTTTATGTTCTCTTTGCGTCCTGCAGGCTTGCTCTGGGTACTGGGTACTCTTAATTCTGTTCAAAAACATCCCCTGAAACTAATCGGTGTCTGTAAATTGCTTATAGTGTATATTTGTCTGTGCATATATGTGCCCTGTGATGGACTGGAGTCCCACCCAAGGGTGTATCCCAACCATCTCCCTGTGTTATATGGGATACGCCCCCCCACCCCCCCCCAAACACCACCATCACTACCATAACTCTGAACAGGATAAGAAGGTAGAAGCCAGATGGATAATGACATGAAACACTACACATAAAGTAAAAACGAAGACTAACGAAACACATTCAGGTGGCCCAGAATGGTAGAACTGCATTTGCTCTATAAAAATAAAATTGCTGTGACGTATTGTGCGCTTTCATGGGAAAAAAATTCACCTTGTGACTTTAATACATTGACTATATTTCCGTGATGATCACCAACAGGATAGGCTCGCTTTATGGGCCTCCTGGAATAATCACATAATTACAAAATCAATCGGGGGAAATTAACAAGTTGCATTCCAAAAACTAATGGTTTTCAAAAACCGTTTACAATGCTATTAAGACCAATCTTATGTTTTCCCAGAATAAGGCAGTGTGCTGCCAAATCTATTTACGCCCATATAATGGTTTTGAGAAGCTTAAAGTACGATTCATTTTGTGATTAAAAGACAAGTTTATGCTTACCAGAACAACACTGACAAACACGCACACACACACACACAAAAATTGTCACAATTTCAATGCTTTAGCTGTGGGTTGAAGACATAATTATTTAAGAAGAGTCTCTGGAAAGAGTTGCCAGTGCTCTCCGCCCTGAGGCTAGATGAAACATGTTTAACTGTTTTTTTTAATTATATGTTTTCTTTGTTAAGCACTTACCAATGTACAGAGGTGCTCACATTGCACATAGGCTTACACTTATCCTGACATGCATTAACCCAAACATATGTTACCAGCATCTGTATCTGGTTTTGAATTATCAAGTTAAAAATGTTTTTTTTAGGTTTAAGTGTTTACAAAGGTCATTAGCACACAACGCCTCTGAGGTCATTCAACTTGGCACGTCTTTCCCTTTTTCCTGCATACATCGTTGCATCGTTGTGTCAGGATGCCTACGTGACGATGTGATTCGATCTGACTACAGGGCTTGTACTATTACTGGCTTTAACTTCTTTGTTGCTATTGAGCTATTAAGTTATTATTTTCACTTATCCTAGATTTCTGACTAGCCTGAGTCCAGGTCAGGACATTGGGTTGGATTTTCTTGCTTGAGTTTTGTATCACTGTTATTTTTTTCCTGCTTTATTCTAATAAGCTTGAATACAGCTAAATATGTAAATAGAATTCTGATAACGAGTTTGCTTTTGGTACCAATCCAGGGTGTTCCCCAGCCTTGAGTCTATGCTTCTTGCGATGGACTCCAGGCCCCATAAGACCCTGTAGTGAATAATCGGTTTGGCTGAATGATGGACGTTGAGTTAGCTAGCATCAAGCAAAGACTTCAGTGTATTGCATAATGATGATGGACGTCGAGTTTGCTAGCATTCAGCATAAACCTCACTGTGTTGCATAATGATTCCCCCATTTCAGGCACCTGGAGTTTTGTCTACATTTCCGTTTATCTGCTTCTGACTTTCCTGAGAAAGGCGGCGGTATCGAATTCCTCAGAAGACCAGCTGACAAACAGATGAGAAACACCCACCAGAAAGCAGGCAGAGCGCACTGCCTGTGATGCAAGTTGCTTTGCGGGATTTTCAAAGTCAGTAACCCAATCTCTTCATATGAAAGATATTCTCAGTAATTAAAAAAGGATTGACAACTATGAACTGCATGTTGGTCGTAAATCCACTGTCAAGCTGTGGAAGGAAACAATAATATAATTACCCTCAAATGAGGCTGGCAGCTCTGTCTAGGTCTGGTCTGTCCCTCTGCGCGTAAACATGTCGGACCACATTCACAGCCAAGTGAATGCACACACCCACATGTCTCATTCGTTTTCAGTTGCCCGGTTCATATTACCACTTAGCGTATGTCATTATGCTGCCGAGATGGTCAGTGTGAAAGTACCGATACTCCCCAGGTTATGATGGTCCCTATTACGATATTTCGACTTTAGGATGGGTAAATGCTTTTCACTTTCAGTACATTATTCAATAAATTTTATGATATTCTTTTAAAATATAAATTAGGCTTTGTGTTAGCCTAAGTGTTCTAAGCATGTTTAAGGCAGGCTAGGCAAGGCTATGATGTTTGTTAGGTTAGGTGTAGTGTATTAAAATGCATTTTTGCCTTACGATATTTTCACCTTACGATAGGTTTGTCGGAATGTAACCTCATCATAACCCGGGGAGAGGCTGCATATGAACGCCAGGCTGTATTGAGTTATAGCATAGAATATGATGCAAGTTATCTTTTAATAAATAAAAAAATGTTCAGTTGTGCCTTTTGAATGATTTGTGTTAGACAAGCATCTCAATAATTGTTTCTCCAAAAAAAAAACCTCAACCCTGTTTAAGTGGCCTGCTTTTTTAATTAATCTTGTGCCAATACCTGTGTGAACTCTCTTCTGCTATTCTGCTTATGTAACAAGAGTCATTGCGCTGTCATTTTATTTGCTCGTCGCTTTTAAAATATGATGGCCAGGTTTACAGGAATTATTTGGAAGCTGGGGGAATCGTATCGTATTTGTGCTGAAGAGTAAAAGAAGCCCCAAATGGAGTCATCGGATGACACTCAACGTGTTATTCAGCAACTTCCAAGGTGATATCGTTTTCCCTTGTGACATTCTCTTCCACGCAACTGTCTGGCCCCCTGAAAGATTACCTCTCTCAGAGGTGCAAACGTACACGATCTTTTTGGCTTTCAGGGGTTTGGGGAGTTTCGGGTCTTATCTATAGCCGTCCACGCCCACCGTCGACCATGTTACAGAGAAAGCTGAGCCATTCACGTCGGTGGTCAAAGACACCGTGAGCACAGGGTCACCGTGTTCACAGGACCGCTTCCTAATATTAGAGAAAAGAGTTGATGTGTTTCCCACGCTACTGGTTTATCTACAAAGGAGGAGAAGGGATTTTTCTTTTCTGGGCAATCTCTGGCCAATCTCATCTGAGGGGAAGAATGGGGTTTCTGATTAAGTTCGTGCTATTCATGTTTACCTCAGTCGCAAAGCATAAACGGCAGGCACACCCAGCCTCACATAGGTTCTTATGTCTCAGGGCTACGGTCACGGGCACATTCTGATGACTTAGTTCAATTCTTTGTTCCATACAGTCAGGTTACTAAGGGTTTTCACTGTAAACATACCCTGCATTTGTTTATTTCAGGGAAGGATGAAGTCATAGATTTGAGGTGTTGGAAGCGATCTAATCAGCCCCATTTTCTGTAGTTCAGTTTTGTAATATTTAATATTCAACATATCCACAACATGTTTGTATCCATGTCATTATGTCCTGGCTGCGAAATTAACAAATCCTTATGTTCTGCGAACACTCCTACTGTTATTTGTCCTTTATTTGACTTTCTTTAAAGTGATACACAGGTCAGTATATCACTGAACAGTTTAAACACCTAGAATGCATCTGAACAAGTAATTTACATTCATTATTGTTACCTGAGAAGGTAAAACATAACTGCATAATACGCTCGCTGATCTTCATAACTGTATAATACACTCGCTGAAGTTTTGCTCTTTTATGGGGCGGGTTGATATATGAGACCGGTAGTCATTAACGTTAAGTATGATTGTTGCGTAACCAGTTCATGATCATGATCTGACCATTCCACGCTTGTGAAAAAGCACCAGTTTTACTGGGGATTGAAGACTTCAATTAAGGCCTGTCACGCGGCCTGACACTGTGCTCGTTTTATGTATCTGCCAGCTTTCTCATCTCAGTGAAAACATAAGCCTCTTATTCTATGAGAATCTGAAATGAAGAATACAAGCCTGACGGTGAAATTAAGACAATTAGAGACTGAACGAAGATTTATGTAGATTTATTATGGATTTCAGCTGATTAACAAAATTAACAAGTTGAAAGTACACAAAGATGGAGAAAAGTCTCGTATAACCTGATATATATTTAGTAACTTTAAACCAAGGCAAGAAGCAGTCATAGAGTCAGGGTGTTAGTGTGAGAGAAATTCCTGGACAGAGCCAGAAAGGGTTACAGATCTGAGCCAAGCAGAGCCCAGAACTGTAGAGTACCCATTCTTTATAATGCTCTCCACAAGGAAGTATGAAACTGGGAGGAGAATGGGATGTAATGTTCCAAACTGACATGGGCAATAAGGAGCCTGGTCCCTTTCAGTTTTTCATTTCTTCAACGTTCTCAACTTCGCTGGATTCTTCCACCACTTTGCCATCAACCATGGTCTGGGTGATCACCTTCACAATCTTCCTGGTCCTAAATTCCTCTGCAGAGCAATTATGTCATGTAACAGTGAGAATATGGCCCAGGCAACAAGCTAAGAAAAAGGTATTATGAATTCTTCAGAAAAACGGAATTCATATCTTCATAACCATAGACACAACCATAGACTCCCGAGGCACTAATCTGAGCAACAGCAACATTACATTGTCGATAAATTGAAAGGAGTGTCTTAAAAACTGACAGAATTAGCTAGAAGTTAACTTTTTTCATGACAATAAGCTTGCATTGGCTGTCTTTCGAGGAAAGACAGACAGTGCTGAGCATGGATTCCGCAGTGCATCCTTCGTTCAGTGGATGACATGACTGGAGATCCTTGGCAATGTGACAGTGTTCCATGTCAATCATTCCTACTAGCTGTAGCACCAAGAACCTCAGGAATATTCCTTTGTTCCATGATTATAAAAGAAACAAATGTACTTACTCTTGGCGGGAGCGGGAGCGGGGGCGGGGGCGGGGGCGGGGGGTGGAGGTGGAGGTGGTGTCTCCTTGACCCTGAAAAATGAAACACAGTGGCTATGAGCCCAACTTACTATGAGTCTGACCTCCTCTGAGGAACCTAGAAGAATCTACCATCTACAGATAACAGAAGAGGGGGTATCCCCTTCAGTAATATCATATATAATATGATGCTTGGTTTACAAAAAAAACCACATACTATAAATATATATCATCACATAATTTAAAGTTTTTTTCTGACACCCCTACCCTCCGTTAATGGTTTAGTCTAAACTCCTGCAACTTACTTAGGTGGGATATGTGCTGTCACTTGAGTCACCTGAGTCACCTGCTTGACTTTACTTCCAGACCTGCGAGCAAAGAGGCAACAGACATAGTGAGTGGTGGAAAGTTAGGATGTTTGTGAGAGAGGCAGGGTGCAGCCAACATACCACAAAACACGAATATCACTCTATATATTGTAATTGTAACAGCAATAGTTAAAACAATAACTACAGTAATAGTGCGACTACAGAATCACCTTATGATGCGATGTGACATCACACCTGATATCCATCCTACTCACATTTCCTCGCCTTCCAGCAGCCGCCTGTAGGTGGCGATCTCCAGCTCCAGGTTCTGCTTGACGCGTAACAGCTGCTCGTACTCTGCCTTGTTGCGCTGCATGTCAAGCCGCAGCTGGGACAGTTCGTCCTCCAGCTGCAAGAGGATAACCTGCAGTCGCTCCATCTCCAAGGAATATTTATGGTTGGTCTCACCCAGGTTCCCCTCGAGGACAGCCACCTGGAAGAGACACACAGCCATGGTGAAATTCCTGCATTCGTGACAACCTCAGCAGCCATAACCTTGTTTACCATAGTGAACTGACAGACGACATTCAAACAGCTCTGATATCTCCTAAACCAATGCAGCCGTTGCCATGTGCAGAACAATGAGCTGTAGAAAGGTGTCTTCCTGTGCCATCAATGGTGACACAGATATGTCCTTGGCATTGTCAGGACAGGCCAAAGCACCAGAATTGAATAATATTTCTCTGCTCTCTGAAGACAACAAAAGGGACAAACGAACATCAAAAGACCGAGCTACATCTGACCCGACAGCATTCAGCTCGGTGACAAATCTAGAGAGGTGGTTAAATTGTTCCACATATGCAGTTATAACTCACTGAGGTAATTAAGGTTAACTGGATAGTAGCGAAGGTCCCAGTGGAGCTGTGTTCATTTTCTCAAGTGTGAGAAAAGTATTGGATTCCGCCCAGACAAACATGATACCCTATTGAGAAGAGTCAAATAAAGCCATCAGACTCTGCTAGAATCAATAGTCCTCTGATACTGTTTCCACATCGTAAAATTAAATTTGATCTTTTGGTGCTTTTTTTGTCTGCCTTGAAAGAGATATTTGCAAGCTTCCTAATTCTTGCTGGCAGCTGTACAGGGCATACTGTAGCAGCCTTACAGGGAGATATTTTGTTGCAGATGGCCTGCGTTAGTGGCTCTCGTAGTGAGCTAGCTATTCTTCTCGTGATTTGTTTGCATAAAATAACAACTGTGGAATAATCAGCAGAATACCATACCAAGCCATCGATGTCTGTCATATAATACGAGTATCGGTAATCAGAAACTGCAGCCAGGTGTACAATAATAAAGCCGAAGAAACGATTATAGGGGTGTAGTGGTGAGTTTCATACATTTTTTGCAAATTTCACATAGATGCCTTTGTTCAAGTGGATGCCAGAATATTTTCTGAATCATCACATTTCTAGATATACTAGATGCCAAGGTTCTTCGACATTGTGTCATGTTAGAAGCAACGGCAAGTAGACCAGGTGAGACGGACAGCTGTGTAGGGAGAAAGTAAAAATAGCCGGATAGGCGGGACAAATCAGGGCTTCACCTGCTTCCGCAAGCTGTCCAGCTCCACCTCCAGGACCTGCAGATAGCGCCGTCTTTCAGTGAGCTCGTTCTGGGAGGTCATCAGGGCCTCGTTGTTCCCCTTCAGTTCGCTCTGCACCGGCTCTAGCTGCACGGAGGTAAACAAACAAAAATGAGTCTTAAACCAACGACAACATACATGCGCGCCCACCCACACCGGAGGTGACCCACTGACCTTTTTCTTGAACCAGAGCTCCGCCTCCTCCTTATTCTTCCGAATAATTCCTTCATACTGGATCCTCAGCTCGGACATGATGACCCCGAGGTCGGGCCCCTGGGCAGATTCCACCTCTACGTTCACGTTTCCACTGGACAGACGGGCTTTCAGGGCAGCCATTTCCTGAAACGGGAGAATATGAGGGCTGGCTGGTTATAACCTGCCGTCATGAGCAAGAGAGCATTTCTGGGAACTCATCATTCATAATTAATGTTCTTTCCAAGAAAGACCGGCATGGTTATTAGCTTCCGGGGAGTGTTTCCACCCCACCCAACTAATCAAACACAACCTGGGCTCCATGAACCTCCAGCCTCTACACGCCAAAGGAGAAGAGGAAGAGCCAGCTGTATCCTCCTCAGCTCATCCCTGTGTGGCCTTTGATCCATCTCTGCACCAGCACCTTGGATTTGCTGGGACAACAAACCCAGAACTCTGGCCTCCTTACCTCATCGTGGTTCTTCTTCATGAAGAACAGCTCCTCCCTGAGGTTGTCCAGGTCTCCCTTTAGCATAACAATGATCTGCTCGTGGTCTGACTTCGCTTTCCTCAGCGCCACGCAGTCTCTCTCCACCGACTGGCAAAGGGCAGCCTCAGCCTCCCATCTACGTACATACACATGCACACAAACGTCTCTAGTATCATGTAACGGCATGGTTATGAAACTCTGTAAAATGGATGTGCACAGTTCAATGATCCTACAGCGGCGTGTTACCATACAGCATTGACAAACAATCAGAGACACGTCAACTTGGTCAGAGACCCCTAGGCTATTTGAGTTATTAGCGCACCCCACCCCACACCCAACCCCCACCCACCACCCAATGAGAGGGCAGTGGCAGCAGTGAAAGTTGTACACCGGGAAGGCATTTTCCCTTTTTGCGGCCCCTTCTTAGCACAGGCCCCAGGGCTGCAGTCTGGGTACGCCCCTGTAAACAATACACTAAGCTAACAATGTAAGGCACTGTAATGAAAGACTATAGACAAAACACCATTTAATCTGTACCATTAAGGCCAAGCAAAGCTCACACTCAACACTCAAACACATTTATGGATTTTGTTAAACAGGAAGGCACTGACAGGAGACATGTGACTGTAAAAATGTAAAAGTCTGCAATAAGCATGGAATGTAGGTGTCTGTTTGGTTTAACCCAGTCAGAGGCAAAAAAAACCCCAAAATGACAGGAAAGTGAATTTCTCATTTCTCCTATTGGTTATTCTTTGGTAAAGACTTTGAGATGCCTTTCTCTAATTTGTAATCAGTGGTTATTTTTTTAAATGCAACACTATGTCATTGTAGTGCCATGACAGATTTTTCTTGTGATGTTAATCAAACAGCAAACAACATCCACGGTGAAGTATTATTTTAAGGCATTGAGACTTTTGCCCATTTATGGATTATCTGTCTTCCTCCATTTATTAAAATGGAAGCTATCTGCTTTTCAGTTTTATTTGTTTTTGTTTGTTTGTTTGTTTGTTTGTTTGCTATTTTAAATATCATTAGCAATTTATGTTTAATGCAGTTTGACAAAGTGAGATATAAGGGGTTTCATTTAATTTAATATTTACCAGAAGTAATTTTAAATAATAATAATAATAGTTATAGATCTTCCTCCATATGTGACTCCAAAGGCCCTCCACTGAAGGGCGATTTTTTTAGGTACTGCGAATTTATGAACTTTACTGTTATAGACTTTACAAGAACTTTTCATGATTCAATATTCAGTATCAACAGAATCATTGTTTTATCAGTTACCATGGTAATTATGAGAAAGAACTGTTCACCCTTTGGCGATTTATTAAAAGCTTAAAACGTTAAATCTCTTTCTTGGAATGCTTATAGAGCTAAGCATGTCTTTGTTACACTAGCAGGACCTGAATGTCTACTTCGAATTAAGTGAATTTAAAGGAAAAATGATATAAGGATCCCTATTGATACTTGAATAAACAGCTGTGTGGCGTGTTGTGTGTGGTGTGATACAGAGCAGCTATCATTGGTCTGTTCTGACTGCTTGATCCATCCAATTCTTTTGTGAACAAGGCATCGAAAAAATCACTTTTGTTCCGTTTCAGCTGTCATAACTCATGTCACCCTTTTCTATGAAATGCAATATGAACATAACAATTGCGATGTCAAAACCAAAATCAAGCAGCCTTACGACATCTCAGTTAGACCCTCAAGTGAGCAAATATGTACGCCACACCCTATTAAGACTCACTTGATTCTGAAGTCATCTGCAGCCAGCTTGGCATTGTCGATCTCCAGCAAAATGCGCGCATTCTCCATGGTTTTGTTTTTCACCTGGCCAACAATGGTGGGAGTGGAACACCAGGCATTAGCATACTTCTCTTTACGGTCAACACTGACTTTCATTTGTCTAATGTTATTGGGAAAGTCAGATTGCATTATGGGCTCTGATTTGACTATAAACATTTCTACACAGGGTGGTAGAAGGTTAGAGCTCAACACAGCGGTTCTCATGGTTCATGGGACACAGATTACACTACACAGCTCTCTGCGGGGCCTGTGGAATGCTGGTATCCCGGTATGTTTTCAACACATGGGTGAATGTGCCGAATCGCAAAAGGGGGCACTGACCTCGTTTGAAAGGGCTCTCGCCTCAACCATCATGGCCTCGATGTCACGTCCCTTGGGAGCTCGTTCCATCATCACCTGTTTGATCTTCTGCTCCAGCTCGGTGTTGGACCTCTCCAGCGAGCGCACCTTATTCAAGTACTTAGCGAGACGGTCGTTAAGGCCCTGCATGGTCTCCTTGTCGTTGCCCACGACTCCCACGCCATTGAGGGACAGACTTGCCAGGGAGTTGAGGCCGTTGCCCACAGACAGGGAGCGGGACATGGAGACGTTACTGACTGAGGAAGCGGCAACGGGTGCCCTGGATCGGACGTGTCCAGCATCCCTCAGAGACAGGCTGGATATAGAGGCCTGCCTGTTGCTGGAGAAGCTCCGGACGGACCTGGACGACATGGTTTTCTGTGTAGAGGAAGGTAGAAAATAAGGGATTATAAGAGGAAACTCTATAAACCCTTACTTCCTTTGGTATAATTAAAACACTTTTATCAGAGATATAAACAAAATTCCATTTAAAATGTAATATCTATCACCACAGTGAAATGGAAAACTGTTACTAATCGCGGAAATTAATGATATTGTGTACATCTCATTAAGCCCCGTATGAATTCTGCTGTAATAAATTAAACTATTTACTCAGTGTCATAGCCACAATGCCTGAGGTCTATCTGTGTCAGTCACACACAGGATTTGTGGCGTCACACTGTCAGTACAACATGCTAAAATGCCTTAACATGTCAAAAGATAAACTTCTATCAGTGACTGAGTTCATCAGCCCAGAGAAAAGAATTCATCATATCTGTTGGCATCAGCTGTACCCCCTGAACAACCACAAGTGACTCACAGCTTTTGATTCTTAACGGAATAATTCCACAAACCTTGCAGTATCATAAAATTGGAGCAATAAAATTAATAACACGTTTTGTATAAAATCAAGTAATTTGTGCGTCATGTGACGGAAGCCGGATGTAAAAACAATGCCTTCAATTGGCCAGGATGATGGGCCAATGATGAGGCAGCAGCTGAGCAAGTCAAGAACAATAAGCAAAGCTCCAACACCCAAAGTCCTGATGGGAAGAGAAACCGAGAAGGAAGGGGAAAGAATACTTACATTGAGGAGTGGCGATGCAGAGGGAGAGTCCGTGATGGACACTGTGTTCTGATCCTGCGACACAGGTCACCCTTTTATAGAGACCAAGTCAGCTGAGAGGGTGAGGCCAAAAGTGAGGGGCGTGGCCATGTAACTGGATGGGGGGTGGAGCTAAACAAAAAGACATCCTACCCCCCTGCCGTGCAGGTCGAGGAAACCTGACACCTGTCCCACAGCCCTAGGGGAGATGGAAAAATTCACTATGCTATAAAAGAAAGGCCGGCGTTTTTTTAATCACACATTGACGTCGTATGGGAGTTTTCCCGGCTGGGGCTACAGGAATACTTTTATATTAACACAAACATATTTACCATTTTACACAACTGTTTTTGTCTCCACATATCTCATTTCGCGTGAATGCCGTAAGGCTGATGTCACAAAGCAGAACTGCAGGCTTGTATTTTTTCTGGCATGTTTTTGGATAAATTGATAACCTGTTGCTTTAGCATGAGTGCGCTGGGTCTGTGTTTCCTGCTAGTTTCTGCTGGCTGCAAGTGTTTCATTCATGCGTTATATTGCTCTTTCCTGAGGAAGCTGTTAAGTTTGAGGGATGCTTTGTGTAACTTGAGGGTTGCTAGTGCCATTTGACAAGGCTGCTGCTATTATGACATCATAAACCCGGGAAAAAGGTAGAGACTGGGTGGAGGTATGATACCGTAAACAGCTGACGTATGACGGAAATTATTGTGGGCTAAGTTTTCTGATGGAGACTCGTTTAGCAAGTTTTTGTGTAGTTATACAGAGTCCCTCCCATTTTAGGCAGGAAATTAATATTTGTTTTTGTGATATAACTCTTTAGCAATAACTCTATGAGTCCTGCCCCTAGTGGCCAAAATTTTGTCGAGTTACGACTTACTGAATTTGTGTCTGTCGCACTAAAACCATTTTACTATAATCCTTTCTGACAAGTTCAGGTTACACATGCTACTTTGTCTGACACTTAATAAAAGTAAGTCGGTCTCCTGTGATTTCTGATAAATAATTGAGCTTCTATTAAACATATTTCATTCTCATAGCAATAAAATGCATTTGCTCTTTTAAATTCTCCTTTGTGTTTTATAAAACATTTTTTTTTGCCAAAAAGTGACTTTGATTCAGTTCAGTAAAGTTCTACGTGGAGCACAATTGTGAAATGGAGCACTTTCCATAGTGGCCTCACTTTCTATGTCTATGTAAACCAAACAATGTCTATGTCTCTCTTCTGGTCACTGGCCTCAGACTGTCTGTGGTGTGAGTCTTGGTTTAACAGCCGTTTTGCCTTCAGCATCCAAGGTGCAGCGCGGAGATGTCAAAACGCAGGTGCTCAGTCAAGCTTTCTTCCATCTCACCCCCGAATTCTTTATTAATATTAATAAACATAAGACTCTGCTCCTTTTGCTTCGTTATGTGAACTAAGATGCCCAGCTGACCTTATGAACGCCTCCTATGGACGCCTCCTTGACGCTAAAAAGTTTGCCTGCCACATGTTTGTAAGCAGAAGCACGTGGTATCAGCAGTATTCAACATTCTGAGCAAACAAGTTGAGCTGGCTTTTTTTTTAATATAACTATTATATACGTATAGTTATACAAAAATATATTACCTACAGAGAGCATCCCCTACAGACAGTAAGCTGGGGGAGACATAAAGAATAATCAGCACATAATCTTTGGTTTTCTATTAAAATCCCCAGTGGGGATCAATAAAATATTTATATTATTATTATTATTATTATTATTATTATTAAGATCATAAATGACCTGAAACTTGTTTGTTTCTGGGGCTGGTTAATTATCTTAGTAATCTACAATTGACACATACAAAATCTTCTATAGCAGACTATATTATTACCATTTATTTAATATAGTACTTTTACATACTAATATTCTTCTTGGTTTTCTTATTTAAAGTAATGAATGCCTAATTTATTTGCCTAATACCATTAGGTACTTAGGTACTCCTGAAGGTGATCCTATTCCTAAGTTTTCTGTTGAAACCCAAAGGAAACACACATACCTTTGAGTGCAAATTCTGAAAGAGGATAAATGTGTGGTTTACATCGGGAACATGATCTGAACTGTTTGATTACTTGTTAGAGGGTTCTTGGGAAAAACGTAAGTTGCGTCCCACCCAAGATTACATGACAATGAAACGTTCAGCATGAAGATTTTCTATAATTATGATAATGATAATAATAATTAGCCTTGTACAAAATGAGCATAGATATGTCGTTAGACTTCAGCTGCTTCCCAGGATCCTTATGGAACCACAGAACTCAAGTCAAGTGTGAAATTATGGCTTGGTTCCTCACGCAGTCTTCACTTAAGGCGCTGTCTCATACGCCTGGCCTTCAGGCAAAATACTCTTCACACCCATGTAATGATTTTCTGATGACTATTAGATGAATTCTGAGATCTGGCACTCAGATGAGGAAAAAAATAATCATGTTTCATGTTTGTGGCCCTGAAAGTGTAATTTATACGGACTGTGTGTCTGTGTCCTTTGTTGTCCTCGTATTTATACCTTGGAATTAAGCTGAGAGTTCTTTGTGAAGTGTTCTGGAGTCTTAAGTTTGCTCTGTTTAGTCTGATGGGCTGGTGCATATGTTGGCATGATCTCTGCAAATACTTGTCTTTTAACAAAAGATAATTTCAAAGAAAACATATAAATAGTCTGCAGCAGAACGTGAGTACACAGATTAAAAAATAATTAAAGGATAAATGTTTGTACAGATTAACACCCATGTTTGTTATGTGATGGAAAACATCACTTAAACAGGTTAGGGTAGACAGTCAGCAGTTACTTGTGTATCATGTATTTCAAAGACTGCAAAGCATTCATCTTCTGAGAATGTTACAAGCAGAGAAAATTGTTTAGGTGTGGCATGTTGCAATCCTGCCAGGCGGGTAAATGTTAACTTTAATGGTAAGTTCAGTGGTCTGAAAGGAATTCTGAAATTCCTCCCCATTGAAATATGTGGTCCAATCACATTCAGAGTCTCCTCATTAGAAACACCTGCAATTAAGACAACAGCAAGTGCACATTTCTGCTGCCAGGCTTTGTTTCTATCTGACAGGTCATCCCAGTTTCCCTCCCTTTTAATAATAGTTGGGCCAAGAAAATACACCAGAAATGCCTTAACTTTTTCTAGTGCTTATTGTAGCATGAGCACAGTCAAATTAACTTCTTACAACGGAGTAATTAGCAGTTTTGCATGTTCTTTTTACATTTTCCTTCAGGCTAATCTTATAGCTTGAAGGGGGGGGGTCGGGAATTAATTATCTGTCTTAGTTTAAACCGAATAGTGATTAAGATTCTGCATAGCAGTATAGCCAGATCCTGAAGAATCTGACCGCATGGTGGGCTGTGATTAGGTGCAGATTTGATATGCTATTTTCCACTTCAAAATGTTGCTGTTTTATGTAATATTTGCCTTCATAGAAACGCAAAGATTATATGATGTTTTGCTAGATGGAATTTGGGGTTTAGCTGTAGGGCGGTTTGTGGCTCAGTGGGTTTGGATAAGGTGCCCGCGATCAGAAGGTTGTTGGTTTAAATCCTGGGGCCCTTAAATCCTAAACTGTCTGACTCAGCTTTCTCAAAAATATAAAAACACCTGTTAACATAAAGAAAAGCTGTTTACAAATAAAAAAAATGAATGATGGCTATTTTATAGAATATTTCAAAAGACATGTCTGATTTTCAGTGACGCTGAAGTTAACTAGCAGATTTAGCACAGTGTAATATAGCTCCCCCTGGAGGACACTAATCCTACTTACAGCTATGAGCAGCCCGACTGCGGTCTTGTCATATTTCAGCTCTCTTGAGTAGGTGGTAGAGTCACCATAACCAGTTTCCAGTTTTACAACCTGCTTTGGAAGTGGGCAAGGGGGAGCTGCAGGGAAATCTTGGTTAGGTCCCTTCACAGACCACACTATTATCCAGGCAAACAATGGCGAGAACGGGAGCCATTTCCCCTGCTCAACAGCGGCCCTGAGATTGCCGGAAAGAAGAGGTAACGATGATGAACAAGGCCACCATCACAGAATGTATTCTGATGGAGGTGGTTGTGGTTAGGACAAGCATTGGTGCCCACCTGCCACTTGCCAGGTCTTTGAAGCTTCAACCCTCCTCAAGTGAAGCTGCACCAGATTCCTTTTGCCGGATGCTAAATAGCAATGGCCACATACGTCACGGTAACACTGGTTACACTTGCCTGCTTATCCATCCATAAGTCCACTTCACCATTACAGCTCCCACCCAGATCATGAGACCTCAACTGTGACGACGTCTTACTTCAGACAGTCAAAAAATAATTGCCGAGGAACAATAATGTGTGTGCAGAATGTACAAGAAGCACTTCAAATCCTGTGTGGACATGCCACAATTTAGCAGACTGAATAGGCAGACAGGTTTGGTAAGAAAATAATGTTTTTGTAGTTCTATTAATTATACTTAATGCATTTATTGTAAAAAGAGACAACATTCAATGTACAGTATAGCTAATTTACTTGTAATGAAAGATGATAAATAGATCAAGCAGCTTGACACAGGAATCTTCCCTCAACAAAAGTTAGGCTCTTTGTTTTGATATTTCTGAAGTGATATGACACCCGATTATTGAAAGAGTTGCAATATTTTCTATGCTTCATTCTCTTGCTCTCAGGTTTAAGCTGGATTTCATAGTGCAGCACCACATGTGGATAAGAAGCATCGAGCGCATCTGCATTCAGTCCATCCACAGCTTATGACAGGTATCTATAGCTGTTCTATGTATTCTGTTCTATTCAGTTCTATTTTATTTTATGTTTAGAAACTGGGGATAGACAAAATAACTCAAATGCCTATCAAGACACTAACACCAAAGGCTCAATAAGCAGTAGGGGCATCCCTTGCCTTTAAAAACAACATCAGTCAGTACTCTTGGAATAAGATGCACATGGACTTACACGATCAACCATAACATTAAAAGACCTGACAGCTGAAGTGAATAACAATGATTGTCAATGGTGCTATTATATATTAGGCAAACAGTTAACAGTCAGTTCTTGAAGCTGGAGAAATGGGGAA